TCTGAGCAGCAGCTAGGATGAGGCGGGGGAATAAAAACATGGATAATGCGAGCCAGATCAAAGGCCACTTCATCCAGATGTTTCAGATGAGCAGCAGAATCCATCGGCATACACAGGAGGCAGAGCAGGACCAGAAAGCATGATGGTTACTGGAATAATGTCATAACCAGGTGTGAAAATGAACACTAGCCAAGCAGAAAGGGGTAGGGAAATGTGTGTGTGGTATAATGCTGGATAGTAGTTCAATGGTTTTTTTTTTGGTTTTTTTTATCTGTTTTTCTATTTTAGTAGAAACTGTGAAATCGCATGTTGTCTTTTCATTAAATGGCTAAATCTGCTGTGAATTGCCTTGAAGTATGTAACTGTAAAATTAAGACTTTTGACATTACACTCAACAATGACCATGTAGCTTGCACTATTATCTTCAAGTAATACTTCAGCACATGAACAGGTCAGTAGATACAGTGGCATCCAAATAATTTTTCAGTGCTCCAATCTTTGTCTAGGCTTTATATACAATGTAATTAAGAGATGTGCATCAGATGTGCTCTTCGTGGTTTCCCAGTGTATTCTCCACACAAGTGATGGCATTTGAACTTCTGAGAAACTGAAGAGTTTCCCAATCTTTTGGTTCAAAAATCCACATGGCATTGTCTGAGATGCAGAGAAGGTCACAGGAGATATATATGGTTGAGATAATTGTACTTATTTCACAGTTTTTGATATGAATTCGATAAGTTTGAAATATCATTGACTTTAATTCAGTTACAGCTCCTTTAATGTGTGGAGGGAAAAAAAAAACCCATATGTCATGCTCAGATTCACATGACAACTAAACCACTGTCTAATTGCTGGGGTCGGGAGAGTTTATGCCCTTAGAAGTGGGGTCACAAGTTGAGAAACACATGGTTAACTAGTCTGGCGTTAGTGGGGAATTTATATTAAAATATCGACTGAAATGAGTAAACCAGTCTATATGATCGCACTTGCTTCTGTACACTGCAATCAGTTTGGGGAGGCATACCTGAGAGTGAGGTATAATCATTTAGCTGTTAAGGAAGCAGCATGTTCAACTCTGAAAAACAGAGATTACTTGGCAGTGGTTGATTCAGCAGAGCAAGGCACAGTCAAGAGCTGGTTTCTTTTTGTATAATCACTGTGGACAGTAAAAACTGCCCTTGAAAGTCCAACTCGCTGCTTACATCAGGCATCAAAAGGTGAAATCCGAAATATCTTAAAATACTTTTCAATAGATCACTGCCACGTGTACTCATCAAATAAAGGTTTGATTTAAACATGCAAAATGTCTCTAAATGATCATTTTCCTTACAACAAATGCCAGTGTGACAGGGTATCTCAGCACATCCTCCCTATTTAATCTGTTAGACAAGGCAGAATAACTAATTCCTTCCTTTACACATTTCCAACCATGTGTAAAAACCTCATCAAGATAAAAACAATTGATGACTTGAGCATTTAAAAGTAACACACAGGCTTAAGTGAGCGGTTCTTAGATGTCAGTGCCTCCTGGGCCCGATTTCCTCCCTTTGGGGATGCAGTGGAGAGGGCAAACAAAGGTTGAACCAGGGTATCTGTCACCTGACTTGGCTTCTGAGTAAAACCTGCTGCACTTTGGGAAAGAAGTCGAACACTGTAACAACACCAAAGGCCTTATTTCAAAAACACCCATCATTCACTCTCAAGTTGCGGTGGGTGCCTGGATGAACTGGAGGTTTTTACTGAAAAAAATAAAATAAAAATCAGGACTCCATTGGCCCACGAGGCTTGAGAGCTTCGCGCAAACTGCTTCCAAATCATATGAAACTACTAATGGAGGAGGAAAAGCGTGGAGATGTGAAATAGTATTGACTGAGAATCATCCAAATCAGTGTAGCCACAGGAAAACTGGATGCAGCCTTTAGTAACTAACTCAATCCAGTGAAGGAGTACACAGATGTGGAACATAAATGTATGTCAAATTATCGAAGTCTGTAAAAGGTTCTCTACAGTCACAGGAATAGATCCTGTGCAAACAGATCTGCTTCAGATACACATTACACAGCATTAGAGAATTTGCTTGCTCTGTCGTAATACTTCCAATTCAATTTAGGCTGTTCAATAATTTTCCAAAACCCTTTAAAATTTTCTCGAAACTTTTTCATGGCCTGTGGAAGCCCTGGCCATTATTTAACACTAGTCCTCTAGATCAGCAGTTCCGTTGAACAACACCTTGTTGTACATTTCATTGATCATTCCTGAACACCTCTGATATAAATATATAGCTTTTGTTTCAATCTAATGAAGCGAACTGAAAACAAAGCTTCATTTCTAGTGTTTCAGAGAGATCTGATGCCAACGCTTTGAGCCAGAGTGTGAATCCTTCCGCCCCATCTTTGAAATAAAATCAGCACCATTGGTAGGACCGATGTCAAAGCAGCGCTTCAACAAGTTAAAAACGAGCTGGAAAAATGTTTCTGGCAAGCATTGCTCACTTATTACCGAGTGACATTCAGATATCAAATAGACAGCAGCAGGAGCTGGCACTGAACCTCACTGCTGCTTATTACTCTGCTGAGTGGGAAGTGCTGACCGGAGAGAGCCGCATCATGATCATCCTATTCATTCAGACTGGGAAACTTGGTCAACGGTCAGACCGTCCTGTGACGGAGAAGTGAGAAGTTTGATCCCTGCAGTGATGGTGTGTTCTTCACTCCAACCTGCCAACTCATTTTAATTCACTCAAGGAGGATAAAAAAAGGATATGGAATTGAACTTAACTTATCAAGTTGAAGTTGGGCTTGTTGAAGGCCACAGATACCAAAAAAACTGAACCAATTTCAAATACTAACTTAACACACAGGGTTAAAGATAATTATTATTACACACAAGACACATCTAGAAACGATCTAACTTGTTAGTACATTAACAAGAAAGTTTCAAAAAATGCAAACACAGCTTAAAAATGATCAAGCATGTGCTCATGATGGTCATTCAACTGGATGAGCAAGATTAACACCTGATATTAGCAAACATCCATCAAGCTTAAGTGTCCTTGAGCGAGACACTGAATCTGAACCAGCTCCAGTGAGCACATATCTACTGTGTAACTGTCTGTGACCTCTGAACTTCCTGCATGAGGGCAAAATGAAAATCTCTCTCACACTGATTGTGTTGCTCACCCACTTCTGCATGGTAAAACTGGGCAGAAGTTTGAAGGAAATACAATGAAATTCTCTACCATACTCACTCATGTCAGCAAAATATCAGCATGAGGGAGGCGAGAACAGTCTATTATCAGCCTTGTTTGAGGCAAGACCAGTCTAGCTGCCTGCTGCCTCTGACAACCACTACACTGAGCTGCCTTAGATAAACTTTACAAAGTAGCTCCAAAGGCTGTCGCGACACGAGTGCGATATTCAGCATGTTCGTGGACTCAGCTGTCAGGCCTTCTATGCTCATCCTACTTCCCAAAATATAATATAATATAAATATTAAAAAAAAGGTGATAATTACAGAGACTAAGCTGTTCTGAGTAACACAGGTGAATATTTCAATTAAAAAAAAAAGATCATTCTCAAACGGCCATGATGTTAACGGCTCGACATAATTCTCTGCTTCATGTTGTCATCTGCAGAACAAGGTATCAGCCTACTGGTATTTATAAACCACTTTCTTACAGAAGATCATACACACATTAGTTGGCCTAATTGTGTCCTCATAAAAAAAATATTTTAGAAGCTCAACAAATCAGATCATCCATTGACTTTCTGCAATAAGTACTTCAGGCACACTCAAACACCAAGCCTGTTAAACAATAAGAGACACACATTTCTGAATTTTGTGTTTCATTGAGCCTATGCAGATACGTTTCATTATGAATCAGGTCACAAAACTCAAGGCCTGTGCCATATAGGTACTTCCACCAGAGTAACAAACCGCTATATTGTCAGACGTCTGAGCTTCGACAGACACCATGACACATAAGCTCTCTTTACTTTTTGAAGTATTCAGTTATTAAGATTAAATATACAACAGGATGATAGTGGTTTGTGGTCGTTATGGTACTCAGAGAGACCTCAACGGAGGTCATTAGCACTGTACTGCACTGAAAAGCCCACATGTGCCTAAAGTGTTTCTGCCCTGCAGCCAACGCTGATGGTTATCTGTGAACTTTTCAGGAGTTACAGGTCTTATCAGCTGTGTACAGTTAGTATCAAATTGACTGCCATCCTCACAACCTGCAGCAGCTTCCATCAAAAGGCAAACTTGATACAAAATGCACACATAATCAGCCTCTGCTTTTGTCATCAACTAGTGACCTGCAGTTGCCCCCAAAATATCCATGACGGGCTACAAGCATTTCTCTGCTGCAGAGGTGTAATCCCCTGCAGGCAGGTGCTACTGATGGGAACAATCGTAGTATGAGGTCAAGAAGGAAGAAAAGGAGTACAGAGAAAGCAGCAGCACCAAAACCACAAATGCCAGCTGTTGAGGAGAGCTGCATTTACACCAGACTCCCATCACTGGCAGCTGACTACATTTAGATTTGGAAGCTGCATGCAATACTCGTTACAGCACCCACATCTACTCAATCATTAGAGCCATATCAAAACCAAATGCCCTGTGGCCACACCATTTTCAGAGAGGAATAACCATCATTGTGTTATAGTTTGGGCCATTACCAGCAAAATACTCCTTCAGTGTTCTCTCAAAGACTGTGTTCCACACTTATCAAAATACAGAGGACACATACATCCTTAATAAAAGACAGATTAGACTACTCTTTTCTGATGTGGAAGAGGAGAGTGAGTACATATCTACCATGCTATGGCAAATGTACACATATATAGACCTTGCGTTGCCAGTCACAATATTGCACTGGTGCAGCTTCCTAGCAGAAGGGAGCGAGAGGCTAGATCCTGCTGACTGCATCTTAACATTTGTAAACACTTCCCACATGCTACCTGAGAGGATGAGAGCTGCATGGCCATGCTACTTACCGAAGGTAGTACTGTTTTAAAGCAAATGCAGCGTTGGAACAACTCCTGGGAAAGTTAAACTCTTCTCCGAGTTCAATCCATTGGTTTTTGTCAGAGACCTGAAAGGGGGAGATGAGTTCGTTAGGAGATAAAACACCGTCAACAGCAAAAAAAGAGCGGTTAAACTGCAACCATCTGTTCTGCTACAGGTTCCCCCCAATGAGGCAATATCAGAATCACTAATCAATAACTTTCTCGAACTGCTGAAAAAAGATTTAAAAAATACTGAACGTGAAATAATCTGGCAAGCCGTTTGCTACAAAAGCGTTTAATTAGCCATTAGCATGTTTATTAACCGAGCATATTTACATTTGACACATCAGTTAAGTACAACTGCCAGACTCCCTTTAAGATACTATCGTTACTGTTGAGGCTAGTTAGCACTAAAGCTAACAAGCTAACTTGACTTTTACATTTTGCCGTTAAAAGCTAACGAGGCCAAACTGCAACAAACTGTCTCTAGTAGCAAACAAATGCTTTAGCTTGCGGCGACGCGTTTGATTTTGGAGTAGCTTTTAGTACCCTTTACTGTATTCACTACATGGGCCTGTGAGGCCTACATTTTGAGATCAGCCATGAAGCCGAAGAAAGATGGCTATGGCGAGAAAGAAAAATCAAGCTTCCCCTGGGTGAAAACTACCGGTAAAAACCCGGGCGAAACGCTATGTCCTAAGCGGTGTTTTCTGAGGCCGGGCTCCGTGCCGATAATCGATGTTAAACGTGCCCGCTAATTTTGAGTCGCTCCAACTGCACTCTGACTCCGAGCGGTTGGACTCTCAATTCAAACCACACAACAACACAAGCCACCACATTGCATAGAGATACATGGCAAACTAGCACAAGGCCAACACCGACCCACTAACGTTTTTCTGGAGGGTTACACTTGTCCCGGGTTACCCACACGGAGTTGTGGAGTGGTCCACCGAGGAGTCCACAGACAGCAGAGTGTGGAGAAAATCCACTTTTAGTTCCCACTCACCTTTGCAAATCCACCTAAAGAGACGACTCTGATATAGAGAGCATTCAGATCCAGCTCTTTCCCACCCACGATAGGAATCTTCTTGAACGCCGATCTGAAGGGATAACACAAGAAATAAAGGCACATATGTTTAAATAACAGTTTTGGTTAACTCCCAGTCACAGGGAATGAAGATTTAAAGTTATATTTCTTGGGAATAAAGACGCCCCAATCTCACCCTCTGCTTTGGTGGAATTGCCGCAGCTCGTCCAGGAAAGCCTGTCCTTTCCTTCGCTGATCTAGTAGATTTTTCCCCGTCGAATTTGCCATTGTTTTTGCATGCAAAAACGGTTAAACCCCACTTCAGTCGCTTCTTAAGACACCAAGGATCCCATACTCCGCCGGCGCTCAGTCATTCGCGAAGCTGAGTGTTTAAAAAGTTAAAGAAATAGCTGATAGCAAGAAGAGCGGCAGCTCGCTAATAAAGACTGATGCACACAGAAAGCCAGCCCGATTCAACCCCGGACTAAGTTCCAACGAACAGTCACAAATACGACCGATTTACCGACAGATTAGAAACGCCATGGCAGAAGGTGTTGAATTAATGCTTTTGGTCGCGGTTGTATTCGTTTGGAGTGGTTTGACAGTGTGTTACGGACGCAGCTCCGAGGCTATCGCACACACTGTAGAGCGGCAGAGGGATCCAGTTCTCAGACAAAAAGATGTGGAGGCCGCGGAGCCCGGCCTGCCATGCGTGCAGCGCCCTCTGTGGCCACAGGTGGCACCGCACCGTCCAGAGCAGAGCGGGTGTTGGAACAATAGAGACTGTTTTCTTTTTTAGGGACCGTCTGACAACTCGTCTCTCTGTTTGGAAAACGGGTCAGGAGGTACTTGGAAATGTCCCGTGGGGGAGGGGATAACACTAATTAACATAGCCCTTGTTATCCCAAAAAGGCGTTGGAGGGCAACCCCACACTTTATTTGTAAAATACTATTTTTCCAGGCTGACATGAAGCCTCAATATATTTCTAACTGCCTCATAAATGAGTATAATACCTCACTGATATCAGTTAAATGACCTCTCTTTCCATTAGGAAATAAAAACTATAGTCACCCTGTAACAATTTAATAATTGCACACAATAATTACACATTACAAGAATACTTTAAACTATCATGCAGTCATTTACGACCAATGCTGCAGAAAATCATATGTTCTACTGATATGACAATTTTTTAAATCCACTATTATACAAAATCAGAAACTTCAGAATATGAAAAATTGTTTACTGAAGACTAATGTACCAGTGTTAACTGCTACATCAAGTATATTTTGACATTCTTGCACATTTCTGAAAATGATTTTCATGCATTGGTTGTAATGTGCCTTATAACTGTTTATTTACTGTGACTTACACATTTTTTTTTATCTTTGTGTCTCATATCAAACTGAACAATATTATATATAAGGGTTAGAGTTCCCAATATTACTCCTATTCCAGTTAAAGTCTACTTACACAAATTAATGATTCTATATGTACAGCATTCAATGCTGTTCTTGATTTGTTTTAGTTTGACATATGGTACCACTTACACTGCAATTATGTTGATTTTAGTGGAATTTTAGACAACAAATATGCAACATGATGTCAATTCAAAATGCATAATTTCATATTGTTATAACTTTGTCAATCTGTTTATGTTGTTAGTTATCAAAGTTTTTCGTTCTGCATATATGGTCATTATTGTGTTTGGTGATTTTCTTTTTCATAGAGCAATTTGTTGTTGGAAACTTGTAAACGTAAAAGCTGCCCCTGTCCCTTGCTGACCACTTCAAAACGACTTTTATCTCACGGGATGGTTGAAAATTACTCCTGATCCCTTTTCCCTCTAACTGCCAAGCGGATATCTTCTTGATGGGGTTACATTCAACCATTACACGTACCCCTTTGCTCAATGAAAAACCTGTCACAAAATGGCGGAGACGTACGTTAGCAGACCCCATTTTGAGGAATTGACACTAGACAGCGGAAAAGTGCGTGTCCTTGCTTGTGGTTTTCAAAATAGTGCTCTTTCTGCAAACAAACTGCGGCACACCGGAGTTCACCCTCCGCCTGTTTGGACTCCCCACCCGTCAACCGAATTCTGGGCTAACGAGTCGGTCGTGCGCTAGCTAGCTCATTAGCTTAGCAAACGTTAGCTAACTTTAGCTTAAATTACCACGAAGCTGTTCCGAACAGTTTGTGTTAATCCAATTACCCGGACACATCTCACGTTAACGGAGACGTAACTTACTGTTTTCTGTCAATATCTAACAATATCAACCACCCTATATAAAAGAAGTCATTGTTCTAGTGCACGGTTTGGGCGCTAGCTCTACCGGCAACTTACATTAGCGTGTCAGATTTCAATCCCTTATTAACACTGCTAATGTTGCTAACTAGGTTACCTCTGGATGCCAGCAGCTCAGCTAGACGCTCCCAGAGCAAACAAAATATTTCAGTTGTCATCGTTTAGCTGTATATAACATTAAGCAAAGAGCAGCTTTAACTACTAGAGACCAAACTAATTAACTCTGCTGTGAGAATCGTTAAAGGATAGCTGGTTTTGTAGCTAACGGGCTAGTTAGCCGACGAATGCGCGTGCCTTCGTATTGCATTTCTAGCTATTTGCTAGCTTTTCGGCGTTTAATAGTCCACATTACTAATAATTACGCGACTTCTAGCTTGACAATGAAACCAAATTTATGACTTTTTGTTGTCTCCACCATCCGTGCTTGGCAACTAATTTAGTTACTGCATGTGCCGATTAAACAGAGATGTGCTATTTTGCGGACCATAGAGAGTTTAGCGTTTTTGTATTATCAAATAGAAAACATTTGAAAGTAACGTTCTGTTTAACCGTTTGTCGTTATAATCTAGTTAAAGTTGTAGCTTCGTATTTACTACAGTCATTGTTGCTAAATCACTACTGATAAGTTCCCTATTCATATGTCTAATCAAAATGATTAGAAGTAGGACTCATGTTGCATTATTTATTGAAAAAAACCTAATAAATAATTGGAATTGAAGTTGAATATTAGTTGAAGCTGTCAAGCAAAATCTGTATCGTGAATGCTATGCTAGAAAATGGCCTACTATTCAGTGAGTATGGGCATTCCCTATAGGAGTCATAACAAGCATTTAGGTATTATTAAATTATTTTAATGCTGTTGTTCAGTTTTGCTTAAAAAATGTAGTGTGTGTGTGTGTGTGTCTTGAGGACACAGATTTCTATCCATTTGTAATATTTAATGTAGTAATTGTACACACACAAGTAATTATTTACATGCAAAGTAGATTTGAGGTCAAAAGGTTTGCAGTGATGAATTGTATTTGTATCGTCCAACAAAAAATTAAATTGACTTATTCTTGCCAGTAAATTTATGCTTTTTGACGTATTCTAAAGATTTTGAGATTTCAAATTTTTGATTTACGCCTTAAATTGCATCAAATTGATCATTCAAGGAATGACCATTCATTTGGAGCTGAACTGTGGAAGATTACATTTAGATTAAGATTAAATTTAAATAGATAGAGTGCCCTAAAATCAATAATTTTAATATGGATAGAATTGTACATGAAAGGATGCATCAACTGACCTTCAGCAGATTATCATAATCAGCACCAATGCACCAAATAAGTATCCGATTTATTTTTAGAGGCATTTATTAATGCATTTATCCTTAAAAGATCATGTGTCATTACTTTGACAGTTTGAATGACGAGTTAATCCCATAAAGGTACATATGATCTTAAAATCTATGACTGAAAAGCAGGTTGAAGTTTTCTATCCTTAACATCTTTGCAGACACCCCTTTAACCTGCATTTAAAAAGTGATGAATAGTGTGCTGTGACTGTAAACATGTACTTGAAGGCTACATGATCAGTTATGCCATCACACAGAGGTTCTCATCTGATGTGACAGCAAGGCCTCTCATGGCATATGGGGCCAGTAAGCCCAAGCTGCCTCCAAGCACCCAGACAAAAGATCCCAGTGGGACACGAACTGCATGTAACGTCCTTATACCTCCCTGCAGCTTCCATGCCTGAGGTTGACGTCTTTGAAATGATAAGGGGTTGAGTTATTTGGTGGAAAATGGCTCCATCTTCTGGCAGTTAGGCGTCATGTCTAAATGTTGGGATGGATTCAATTCGTTTCATGAGGAACATATTGTTCTTGGAGGATAAATTGAGAGATTTTAAACTGGATTCAGTCACAGTTGGACTAGGATGCATGCTAGAGATTAGGGGAGGGAGCAGTGGGTGGTGGTGAGTGATCCTTATACAGCCGGAAGTTATGCAGTACAGCTACACTTGGCACTGTAATTCAAAAAGGTTTTTGTGTATTTAAACTGTCTTAGTATTTTCCAATTAGTATAGTATTAATTCTGCCTAAAATGGTTTAAATATTAATGCATACAATAAATTAAATGCATTTTGCTGCATAGTAAACCTGTTTAATTTTTTATCTTATTAGGACAAATAAGACATTGGCCAATGGACCAATACCACATGATACAGCAGCTTAAGTATTTTACACATATACACAAGTCAATAAGAAAATAAATACAAAACAGCATAAACACACACATTGATTAAATAAAGCTGCCATGAAACTCGACGATAAGCGCACAGATCATTCAAGACAACATGGCCGATCTCCAAAAAAAAAGTATTAATAAAGAGAGAAGTTATGTAGCCTCTTCATAAACATTACACATGGAGCTGAATGGCCAAAACTGCATTTGCATTAATCCTGCCAAACAGCCAACTGATTTTGAATGTCCAGATTCGTCAATAATACCGTCCGACATTGTTTACTTATGCTGGTTTGTATATTTTGCTATTGTTGCTAAATTGCTGAACAAGCCGAGGAGACTTAAATGTATCCACTGTTTTGATCCCAAGTTAATAAATAACAAGAATTTAATCTCATTTCAGATTTTTTTTTTTTTGTATATGCTCTACAATAATGTACAATATAACAGTGTGAAACCTGTCCCTGTTCCTTATATAACCTACCGGTGTTTTTTGTAAAGATAACACATTATAGCACATACTGCATGGTTTGTTCAGGTAAAATCTCCATTCCAGCTCAGATTAACCTAAAGGATAATGTATTAACTCAACAAGGCAGACTCAGAGCCATTAATTACATGTGAGATGTTCTGCAGGGTTGTTATTAGGGTCACTGAGGTGAAGCATGAAGTGATTTGAAACGTTGTTGGTCTTCCATCTCATTTGTTACATAGTCTAGTATATAGATGAATTTCCCCTAGGGGGTAAATAAAGTATGTATGTATCTATCTATCTAT